AAATCATCTCGACGCACCGAAACTTTGCGTCTTTCAAGACGTGGTGTCAAACGGCCGCTTTCACCGTCCGCTTGCCCACCGTCCGTCTGGTTAACGAGATGCATCAGCGCCCTGTCACGACCAAATGCTGTACAGTACAGGTAATTGCGGCGAGATGAGAACGTGAAAATAAAAGGCCTGCAAAAACTATGATTAAAAAAAACTACGCATAGGGGTAGTTCAGTAACTGCATCAAGAGGCAAATTTAGGGTCCGAACTGACGAAAAAAAAAACAAAAATGCGGTTGCTCTGTAAAACTTCGTCAAATACGCTTCGTAGACTCTTACCAGACACGGGTAGCAAAAAAAGAGGTTAAAAACGCAGACAACTTACACGGCCTTGATCAAATCACCGATCCACTTTGGAATTTGTTGCGTAGCTACGGACAAGAAATCCGACAACTGTCGTCCGACTTTAGCATTGAGCTTTGACGAATGGAAAGCCCTGGAAAGAGGATGCACTGCAGCAACACACTAAAAACGTCTACCAAACAATTCATTCTTCAAAATGGATCCGAATATCACGCAGGCGAGAAAATAATAACACAAACGCAACGAGCAATTGCCTGCACCGTTCATTCTCAAAGATTTTGCTATACGAAAGCTTCCCCAAATGCATGGATCTAGCTAGATGTGCACAACAAAGACCTAAACTCATCAAAATGCAATGCAAAATTGAACTAAACGATAGAAAACAATTGGCCAACGCACGGGCTGCCCGTGCAAAGATGCGTTTTTTGCATAGTTCCCCGCAGTTTTTGTTGCTACCGGCACCGGCTTTTTCGGCAAATGCTTATAGCTAAACAAATTAAGACTGGCCACCAGAACTGTCAGAAAACACCTCCCTTAAAATTTCAGCTTTCCAGCTTCCCTGGCTCCTGAGTTAGCAACTTACTGGAAAAAAATTTCCCGTGCGAGTTTAACACGCATACCCGAGAATTCGGTTTGAGCTGAATGAAACTTAGGTGGACAGGGTATATCCTCTTAAAATTAAAGTTCTTTAGCTTCTGAGGTACTCGAGTTATCAGCTTGCGCGGAGAAAACTTTGACGGCCCCGTACGCAGGTACCACGCTTACCCGGGGGCTGGGTCTGAGCGCACTAATACACACATGGACGGGAAACATCCTCCTAAGACTTCAGCGTTCTAGCTTTTCAGATCCCCGAGTTATGAACTTACCCGAGAAAAATTTTGGCGGGCACGCACGCAGGTACCACACTCACCCGGGGGCTGAGTTTGAACTCACTAATGCCTACTTGGACAGGGAACATCCTCCTAAAATTTCAGCATTCTAGATTCTCACGTACCCGGGTTATGAACTTACCCGAGAAAGATTTTGGCGGGCCCGTACACGGGTACCACGCGGGTAATGGCACCAATTTTGGGGATTGGGGCCGTACGTGCATGCAGATTATGTTCCCAAAGTTTCAGCCCTGTAATTGTAGGTCTTCAGATAAAAAACCATAACAGACGCATACACGGACACAGAGACAACCCCTCGTCAATATGCGTTTTCTACACTGCATAGCTACAAAAAACGCATAAAACGTGCTTCATTTGTATGTTGGAGACTAAATATGGTCTTTGCAGAAGGAGGGAGTGAGAGCGAGTAAATCTAACAGCAAGCACAGTTAGAACAATCCATAAAGGCCCCATCACCATTACTTTAGGTGCATCCCTCGTACACTTTTGAAAATTAACAAAAAAAAACATACGTGCTGGAGAGGAGGGGAGCATGACTGGTCGGTGGTACCTCCTCGTCATCAAAAAGAGTCCACCAGAAACGATTGAGAGCGTAGAGGCATCGCAAAAGAACCAGGGAAGGTACGCACGCGTCGTCGATATCAACTGGCAATGTGTCCGTCAGAAAGCGATCCAGCGGGCATTCTCGTACTGGTACTTCTCCATCTAAACAGCTCTTGCAGGTACAATTATGCGTCTGAGCGATCGAATGTTGCGAAAGCAAAAAATGTATCTCTGTGCAAGAAAAAAGTGGTTTCGCGATCATCTGCTGGCACATCTGGCAATTACAAATCAACAAAACTAAACTGATCGCGTGGTATGCAGGTCGAAGAGACCATCCCCGCAACAACACTAATATGAGATTTCCAAATCGACTGCCCCAGCACACTTCGGCCCTCTTAGTATTAATAGAGTTCAAATTTGAAAAATCCCACAGTCCTTCAATTAGAAAGTTCCACAGTCACTGAGCAGATAAACACACTAACAGATAAAAAGACATCAACTTGCTACAACACAAATTAAGTAAAAAAAATGAAAATTTTCACTAACCAATCCACAACTTTTCGTCAATTTTGGTTCTTTTTTCTCGCTTTTCATTTTTAGTGACAGGCGCCTTGTGGCCTGAAGCTGCTGCAGCTGCTGCTGATTCTTGCAATGACAAAGACGCATCAGCCGGCACTGGGGCAGCTGCCCTGTAGTAAAGTGTGTGAGTATTCACCCACAGTCCTGTCGCAACAGCCAACTGGTCAGGATTATCGCCCAAATTAACCTGTCCGTATTGACGCAGTGCCTGTAAAAAAAACATTCATCCATCTAACGGAAAATCATGAAAAGAACAACAAAATCACGTACTTACTAACGTCTTCGAGTTTTGAATAGAGGCGTTTCCTACTGCATAACAATGAAACAGCAGCTGTTCAAAGTACAGAAATACGTAGCAAGATCGCTCAGACCATTAATGTGGAATAAGCCGATGTTACCGATGCCGATGTTACAAATCCAGACTTTTCCATTCTGATTCGCCTAGCTCTTCTAACCGGTACCTCCCCGTAGAATCACAGCGTGTGCTCCATTCCCATGGAGGGTATCTGAGTAACCACCCCGTTTCTCGTTAATATTCGACGTTCACCAATTGTTTTGTAGACTAGCAACATATCCTTCCCGTCAAATCCTGTTTTCTCGCCAAATATATATCGCATACGCAACGATAACGCACTATGCAATTCGCCTGACTGTTCGTATAGTTAAAGAAGTAGAGGAAATTACTTGAAGGATTGACATGTGCCCTGGCACTCTTTCGTCGTTTATGAGGATTTCGATGCGGTTCGGTTGGGCAGTCGATCCAGACAACGACCCCTCCTGAAACTCTGAAGTCCTTAGAATTTCGTACCACAAAAAGACACTCAATCATAATTAGAAATTACCACTTACAGAAGGCATTTCATCATCATCGCTACCGTCTTCATCACCAGACGAATCTTCTCCACGCACATAACCGATTCCACGATCAAGCAAATATCTTTCGATAGCCGAAATTGAAGTGAACGGGTCCACCTATTCAAAACAAGGAATTACAAGTAGCGGTGCGCAACAGGGTAGCCGGTGTGATCATGCGTTTTGCGCAGTTATGTGGTGCTGGCGTTTGCCCACTAAGGATTTTCGCTGCGAAATGTCTGTTCCCTAAGTTGCGAAATTTTTCACTAAAAATTCCGCGTGCCGGCACGTGAAAGCTGAATTCGGAACTTAGACGAACAACAACCGCCCAAATCTGAACCTCCCTGTTTTCAGGCTTACAAGCTAGTGATTTTCACATCAAAACACTCAAGCGGTCGTAAGTAAGACCTCGGCATAAATGAGAGCTAAATTTGATTTTTTAAAAAATTTCACAAA